GTCTAAAAGCTTTAAGTCATTATGCGTTGCCTTTGAGCCAATATAATTCACTATAAAACGTTTATTTTGTAATATAAGTAATGCCGTTATAATTTCACATGCATTAATCTTCCGTGTTGGTTTATTTTTATTTTATTTTAGCAAACGGAGAAAAAAATATACATATAAACAATTAACGACATTAAGTTTTTGGTGTAGTTTAACTCAAAATAAACTTCTTTTTTGCAATGTTTTATAATTATATATTATTAAAACTTTATATAATTTAAAATAATACTTTCTTCGTTTACATATTCATTGCGGATAATTTTACCCTACAGACTGTAATTTTCGCTTATCAATAAAATGCACTAATTCACGGTATCGTCAGGTAGTTGAATTACCAGGAATCATACCTTTACCCATAACCAGTACCTGATTTGATGTCCTCTCGATTAAATCAGATGGCATTTAATTGCCAGGGTATTATGAACCCCCATTAAGTAGTCGGAACCACATCAGACAGTACCGACAAATATAGGGCCTATTGTATTAAACACTTGGGCCGTTAAATATGTCCTATTGTTATATTTATTAATAGTTACCATCAAACATTAAGTGACAACCTACCGATTCGGATAATTGCCAGGTCGGATTTTGATACTTAAATTTTAAAGATTTCACCTTACAGCCCACCACAAAATCGTAATTTCTCTAATGGTTTGACGTTTGGTAATTGCATAAACAAATCCCGTGCACAAATTGTAATCTGGGCGCATATGGAGTAAAACAAAAGGTTTCCTTTTTCAATGGAATTCTTGAAGCGGAAGAACTTAACGTCTCATTGTTATCGTTACGTTTCGGCGGGTCGTCGCTGTGTTCGCCAGAAAAAATAATTTTTTAAAGTACCACTGCCTTTCGAAGAATATAAAAGTATGCTTGGGAATGATAAAGATTCACAACGTCAGAAATAACAAATACATTTAATATTTTTAATTCATGGAACAGTTTATGAAGGATGTTTGATTCCATTGGTAATTAATAAACCGTTTCAATCAATTAATCACCAATCATCCTGTTCGCATCTTCATCTGAAAACTGTTTTCGCCGACGTTTTCAGTTAATCTCTGAATAAGCCAACATGGTGATTGACGAAACGTCAGCAAGTTCGACTCAGCAAAAACCGAAGCAGGAGGAATCCAGAATGTAAATTTTGAAACATGTTCTCTCTTCAGAATTCAATAAAATCAAATTTCCGAAATTTAGGCTCCGGAGTAGATCCCAATCATTCAGTTATTTATTTTAATTTGTAAAAAAAACTAGTCCTGGTATAGCTGCCAAAAATAATGAGTAATGCATTTAAATAACTTTAAATTTATTAATTAAATTTAATATTAAATTCTAAAATGGTTAAACTTAAAGTGCCTACACAATAGTAGAAGTGCCGAATAAGCAAAGTTTTTCTTTACTCTTTCTGCCTCACTTTGAATAAAAATCGAGAAAAGGTATTTCCTTAATTCAATTCGACTATACACACAAGATTGATCATACTTGGTGCGGCTAGTTTTCGATTAAATAAACACATTTAGTTTCCCTGAATCATATATTTGATTTACAAGAAGTCGACGGTAACTTTGCGATGGTTTTCTCCCATAAGCTGAGTCGCGATTAACCGATCGTCAAGAACTAAATACAACGAATGAGGTATACGTCATTTGGTTATTTGGATATTTCAGCCACAAGTCCGTTTACCTTTTGACATATGTTTGAACCTGTAATCCTGCTATATTTACTTAATAATAAATATCGAAAAGGCTGTCGAATTGTAGTAATATTCATAATAACGCCGTCGTTTATCTTCCTATGAAGACCTTCATAAAAGGCCGACAAAACAAAAATATATACTTTCAAATTTAACACCCTATATAATTTAATACGATTTTTCAAAGGAATTCTTCTTATCGGGAAAAAGAAAACTTAAAAAACATGTCTGCGATCTAAAAACATAAATACTCAACAGAAATGAATTAAGTTGAGAATTTCATAAAAGTCTTGTCAACTTAACGAAATTTTATGTAATTTTTCTTTGACTATTTTAAATGCACTACCACATACCTAACTATCTTATCTAGTTGTATGCCTGTTTTTGTAAAAGTATATTTATAAAGACACATTTCAACAAGATATTAATTTGTTTAATATTAATCAGGATCAATGGTTAAATTTATTCCATAATTTTGAAAAATTTTGATCACCAACAGAGACTGAAATGTCGAGCATTCATGAAAAACATTCTTTACAATGACCACCCATAAAATATTGAAAGTGACAATTTCAAAAAAATTATAATTTCCTTTGCGTAGGTGTATTAAAATTAGTTTTTTTTGTTACTGATACATCTGTTAGTCGTAATTTTCCAACAGCTGACTTTAGATGAAGAAAAGTAAAAAAAGAAGAAAAAATTAAGCTATACAAAAATATATTTAATTAATTTTATTAATTATTTTGAACCGCACTTTTCTTAGGTAAACTAATATAAGCTGTAAGCAGTGACATAGCCGGGGCTTTCAAGCATTACGTTTGTTAAATACTGCTCCACATTTTTTTTATTCAAAAGCTGCATCTTCATATCAAGCAAGGATATCAATATCGCCAATATATCCACATGCCTCGTGTGCTTAAAGTTTTTTAGGCTGAATTTTTAAACCTAACTTAAAAATTATGTTTTTCAAACATGAATTGACATCAACTATGTGTAAACTATATTCTTGTGGATTTCCAAATAGCTACTAAATTATAAATGTGTTATTTTAAGTTTTGCGTGCATCAAAAGAACCAAACATTAATTTTACTTAAAATCATATGCATGCAAACCATCAGATTTTTATTATTATTAAAAGCGCATTGCGCAACCATAAACATATTGATTATTTAAATTCTATTTAAATGTTTTTAATACACTACATACACCTCTAAAAAATAAAATCTATTTTGTGGCTAGCACAATGCTTATTACGTTTGATCAATATTAATCAAGATTCATTTCAAAAATTTTGTTACCCAACACAGACTGAAACTTTAATCTTTGCCATGGCGCACACCTAAAATTGTATGTATAATAAATTAATATTTGAATGTTAAATGTTTATTTAAAGGTTGCATTTTCAAAAGCATTCTACAAGTAAAATTATGTTTTTTTTTTGTTATTGATACGTCTTTTTCTGAATTCTCGACATTTGCCTCATATACCTACGATAAAGAAAAGTAAGAAAGAAAAGCAAATAATTCTAAACAAAAACAAATGTATTGTGTGAATTGATTATTTAATATCAAATATGTTGCCCAAGCAATATATATACTTTAAGACAGAAACTATGAATAAGTTAAATACACTATACACACAATGAAATCTGCCATACTTTTTAAATAGCTGTTAAATTATTAATATGTTATTTCAACTCAGCATTAATACTATTTAATACTAACATTTAAGATATGTGCATTAATGCAAACTATCAGAATTTTATCAATATTAAGCTCAGAACTTTCAAATTTTAATACTTTTAATCGCATAAATAACTAAAAATATGTGTTGTGGCTAGCATAAATCTTATTTACGTTTTCAGTTCCAAATTCTCATCAACTGCGATTGCACAAACCTTCGAATCAAAACTAGAATATGGTTTTAAAATGAAATAAGTATATATGTAGATAAAATTCAGAATAGGTACTAAAATTTTCGGATCAATATCGAACATAATATTCGAACTCGCGGAATATAAATATAAATCAATATTTAATTTCGCATATACATATATTACCGTGTGAACACCGGCTGGAATTGACGTTTTCTCTATATACCCTGATCTATATTTCATATCCTTTTCAAATCCATACAATGTTGTACAAAATCTACATTAAATAATTAATCACGGGATATGCGCATAAATTTGACCGTTGCGTATTTGTACATGGCGGTAAAGCTTGCGCGTTTATGCCGGTTTCATTCCAAAAAACCAACCAAAAATACAAAAACCGTTCTTAAAAATATAATAAGAGAATTTGCAGCGTTACGAACTTTCCGAAAATACATTTTTGAGCGTGCTTGCCTGCGCGTCTTCCGTGCGAACGCTCTGCCTTCTACGAGCTACAGGAAGTTATTCTGAAAACAGCTGAAATTCGCTGCCGGTGGAGTGGGGATGCGAGGGGGTGGCTTGATGTGTGGCACGTCAGGGGAGGGACTAACCACGGCTAGGCCTCAAAAACCGCGTCTGGGATTGGCTATATAACCGTCTCTCTCTCTAATTTTACCAGAGTTTATGGTTTTCTCTTTTTCTAACTTGGTGCTTTTTATATAACGCTTTCTCCCGTGCGGCCCTCTCGCTCTCGCTCAATGTGGCATTGCCCGGTATTCTAGTTAGAGTTCGGTTTCCTAGAAACAGGGCGGTATTTCGCAGTTTTCGGATAATTCGGCACAACTTGGACGGGACTTAATTATTTACCGTATCCACGTAATTGACAACGCAAACAATCGAGAGACGCTCGTCGAGGCTAAATTTATACACGTTCAATGATCAAGATCTAGACGATTTATTTTTTAGTTATCCGCTGAAGCAAAACTTAAAATGAATTAATATAAGAGAAGGATTTTGGAATCATCCCTCATACTTCCGCGAAGCGATCGACAAACAAGACCCCGGGCTTTGGTAAAATTTTAACCATGCACGTCTCTCGCTTGCATTCACCGACGTCGCGCATTTTTTTCCGAGATATCGGGCGTTCCTGTTCCGCTCGAGCGCCCTAGGCTAGGCCCGTCTCTGTCTTAACAGTTATAAAAGTTCGGAACGTAAAGACTCCATCTGTCTCTTTTTAACCTCTATTGTAAGAGGACAAATCGCTCTCTACAATTTAAAAACTACCCTCCTTTATAGGTAGAGGAGCGGGGGTGCGAGTCAAAGCGTTAATATTCCCGTTCAGAAAAACTCTCCGTCAGTCTCACTTTAGGATTGGTCGGTGACACTTCTTGGGATCGAGTTCGTCGGATGCTGTCGCGTCTCGAGCGTTTTTTCATTTCGGAAAATTGGCGCGCGTTGAACGAGACTTTGACTGGGTACAAATGCATTTACCGAATACCAACAACAACAGCAACACGTTGCCGACAATGACCGACATTTACAGCAGTTACATGGATACGTTGCAAGAGTTTCACGGTGAATTAGTGCAGACCGGAAGTCCGGCGATCTTGTGTAGTGCGTTGCCGACACATTGGAGATCGAACAAGAGTTTACCGATCGCGTTTAAGGTGGTAGCCTTGGATGACGTGCCCGACGGTACCATCGTCACGTTGAAAGCGGGAAACGACGAAAACTACTGCGCGGAACTGCGAAACTGCACGGCCGTGATGAAGAACCAAGTGGCGAAATTTAACGATTTGAGGTTCGTCGGCAGGAGCGGCAGAGGGAAATCGTTTACTTTGACGATAACGATCAGCTGCATCCCCTATTACCAAATGGCAACGTACAGCAAGGCGATCAAAGTGACGGTGGACGGGCCGCGCGAGCCCAGAACCAAATCGAGTGAGTCCCAGCCCGAAAAACGACAATAAAACCCATCCCGTAAACCGTTTTTGATGGCTGTCAGTTTAATAAACAACCAGAACAATGCCGTTAAAACGCGCGTAAACATATGCGATCGGTATAAACAAATAAAAATTTTAACGGTCAAGTCGGTTTTGTCGGCACGTTAAGTTTAGTCAACAAACGGGAAACGTTTCAAGTTTATTTTAATCGGAGTTAAAACTGTTTAGCGGCGACCATATGTTCGCCCGTTAGCGTCCGAATTAAACCTTGTTTATAATTCGGGTTTCGTGTAATACAAGCAACGTTTTATCGTTTTTTTTTTTCATCGTCGTTTCAGATTACCAGTTCGGCTACGGCATGCCCGGGCTACCGGGTGCCTTCAACCCGTTCTTGTTCAACCCCGGCTGGTTGGACGCCGCCTACATGACATACGCGTGGCCCGACTACCTCAGACAAAGAACCAATCCGATTCTACCGCAGAATAATCTCCACGGGGCCTTCGCTAAAGGTAATCGATTCGATCCGTTCGTTGTGCAACCTCTCGATTTTAATTTCGATATTTTAATTGGGGTTTTGTTTCCAGGTCCCGGCGAATTCTATGTAGGCGCGTCTCACCCTCCCGGAACGTTTCCGACCGCCGCCAGTTTTATACCGACTGAATTACCGAAAATGTCGCCTTTGGAGGGCAACGCCCACGCCAGGTCGTTCCAACCGAACCCGATGGACCAACTGAGTTTGAGGATATCGCCGGTATCCAACGGACAGAGCGCGAGTCCTCAATCGTCGGTCCCTCAAGAAAGGAAAATTCACTCGACCGTCGATCAGTCCTCTTCCGATCAATCGGACGACGAAGACATCGACGTGGTGAAATCTGCTTTCGTGCCCATTAAGCCGGCGAGCGTGTTGCTCCAGGAAACGCAGCATCCAGATTCGACGGTGCAAGACAAAGATCCGGGTGTTGTAAAAACCGAACTCAAAGCGCCCAGTTCTAGAACTATAAGGAGTTTGGCAGGGAATAGTCCGAAATCGCCGAACACGAAAATCGAGACTGCCCCGACGATAAGCGCTTCGAAATCGGTCTGGAGGCCGTACTAGCGGACGGCGTGTGATAATGTTGTTGATTGTTACTAGATTTTTATTTCACCGTTACGTAGTTTTCGTCGTACCCATGTAAATAGCCCCTTCGATTTTTGTTGACGCGTCTCCTACATGTAAATAGTGTAAAGAATAATTTAATTATGTTAGTTATTTAAATTTTAATATAAACTAAGCGACACTGTACTGCAAATGTGATAGCAGATGGTAAAAAATTAGGAGCTAGATATTTTTGTACTCTCGATGCACTAATAAAAGTTACATCTAATAGGAGATTATGAACAATACGACCCGTTGTTTCACTTTCACTTTCAAATATTAACGTCTACGGTAAAATTAGAACTTAGAGGCATTCGGAATTTCGAAGGAATTTAATGGCCTCTGCATTTTCCTACAAGTGTGAGAAGAGAAACGATTAACGATCGAAAACTCAAACAAAACATTTCTTATAATTTTCGTGTACAGAATCAGCAAAGCAGAGATTGAATGACATTCTAAACCGTTCACTTCTAGTAAAAATTGCAAGTTAAATAACGTTTCTGTGTGAATTTCGAAAATACTCTCTTGCCGCGTTGGACTAGTAAGAAAAACTAAAGCAAGTTTAATTAGTTACTGTATTAATCATATATTTACCATAGAAAGGGAGTAAGTCTTCGAGAAAGGTAAATACAAATTAAAACATAAAGAAACCAAATAATTCAACTAATTAACTAATCAAAACCGTAACCATTTAAGTTTAGAAATTGGAAGAAAGTTTCATCAAAGTCGTTTTAAATTTTACAAATTGAAAAGTTTTCGGTTGATGATGGCAAGTAAAGTAATTCAAAAAAGTCTTTGTAAAAATGCACTTAGGTAAATTTTACAAAACAAGAAATGATAAGTGAGCCGATTATATCACAAGCGGATAAATACTAAATAAAACGTAAATTAAGGAATTTCACACATAAATTAACTAAATGTTATAATACAGTTGTTTGCTAAAGCTATATCTATACAATGGATTCTCAAAAAAAATTGCTTTATTATCTTTTAAAACTGGCCGCGTGGTAAAGATTGAACATTATTTGGTAAACCATCTGATGATCTGATCTGATGATTATACTGAGATGATGTCAGCTTGGAAAAGCAAAGAGCGATGGCTTCTGCCTGCCTGGTATTATAACCATTCAGATCAGCAATTTTAACATATTCCTATATATTTTCATGGATATGTGAAGAAGTCTCGCGTACTGAGCAATGCGGGAGTCTTTTCCCATTGACGACCACTCTTTCTTAAGCTAGAAATAATGGCGCTTACATTTTTAGAACATACATATCAAAAATACTGATAACTAGGAGCTAGGACAGCAGCTACTGTTATCGTGTTTTCCAAGCTGACGTCTGAGAAACCCTAATCATCATCATTTTGAATTATCCTACCAAATAAGATAAGATCTTTACTACACAGCAAGTCTAAAATAATAATAAATAATAATGAAGTAGTTTTTGTTAGAGAATCCATTGCGTAAAGCTAAAGCAAACACATGCATTACAACTTTGAATTTATTAATTTGTCAAATTCCATACTTTACGTTTTATTTAGTGTCTATGTGCTTATAATATAAGCAACTGACTTTCCATTTGTTGTTTTGTAAAACTTGAGTTAATGGTTAATTAAGTGATTTGTTTGTTTAAAATTATTCCAGATTATATTTGACTTTGGCTCCTATTTTACGTCATTTACAAAGCTATATTCAGAAAAATTTTCAAATAAACGGAAACTAGTGAATAATAGTTGTAAAATATATAATAATATTGGCTCGAGCTTTTTAACCAATAATGCTTTTCACAATTATCATAAGAAGCTGAAACAGAAGCAGCCTTAATATGTGCAATACATAGGATGTTACAAATTAATATGAGATTTTTTGAAGTAGCGGTAGCGGTGGCCACCCGAAGCAGATGGTACCTCTTGATTGTCCAGCCTGAAAAAATTCTCGAGTGAAGAAGTACATTTGGTTTGATATTTTTAAAAAACTGGTTAGCTTCAAGTTAGTGGAACGACGAACTTACGTGTTAAATGCGTTTCTATTGATATCCGCAGCAATGCAGCCAAACAAACTAATTTACTAATATAATAAGTATTATAATATATACAGTGCCTGCGTAAATGATGGGACCCCTTTTATTTTTTGACCCCTTCTATATAGCACGGTGAAATTTAGCATAGACGTATATAATCATTATGTCTAATTTTTGACATAAAACAATACCTCAAAATGTCAAAATGACAGCAGGGTGTCATTTTAAGTATTGTTTTTAATGGTAAAAGGGGTCACGTGATACTTCTTTCTAAAGGGCTTTTCCCGTTCTATTCGTATACCGATTTTGAAAACATTTGATTAGTCAGTTTTTGCTAGACGAATTATCGCAAATGTTTCACTATTTTTTTATTTGTTAACTTTAGCTTTAATTAATAAAATAAAGAGTTTCATCATTTTATCAACTATTTTATGAAATGTCCGAAATTAGCACCTTGTGCATTTTGACAGTATTAAGGTCTGTCAAAATAATGTCTGCCAAAGTAGTCTAATATGACCTGGCACTCTATAATGTTGTATTCACACGCAACCTTTCAATAATTATTATCATTCCTGATATTAAATTAAATTTATTTGATTTTTTGCCTGGCAAAAACTGACCAATCAAACGGTTTCAAAATTGGTAAGAGCGTAGAACGTGAGAAGACCTTTAAGAAGAGGTATCACATGACCCTCTTAGCATTAAAGCAAATACTTAAAATGAAACCTTGCTCTCATTTTGACATTGTCAGATATTCTTTTTTGTCATCAATCTTCCTTAGCCACAGTCACAAGCCACTTCAGAAATGTCCGTTACTTTAGTCACCGGTTTGAGAGAGGTTACATGTCACACACGCAGTCTACCCAAAAACGGTCGTAGAAAAAGAATAGTACACAACACTTTGTTAGATTTGTTTAGTTGCTCATTTATTGAAGGCTCATTTCGTTGCACTCCGCTCGTGACTCAACAAACTCGACACTAATGTGTTTTTTGTAAAACTTGTTGTTTAATATACCACAATATTTACGCGACATCACGTACCAGTCCGACAAAGAACTATCATGTTTTGAACAGTTGTTGTTTACATTTTCTACTAGTTTTTGAATAGAGTTTAGTAAAACGATCAATGAGTAACATGATAAAATTCCACCGAAGTAGCTCGCCAGAGTGATTAACGAAGCTAACGTTTTAAAGTTCTTAAAGTGCGTAGCAAAGAGTAGAAAAAAAAAAGATAATTTAAGGTTTTAATGTAATGCAATTTTCTTGAAGTAGAGAAAAAAACAAATTCTTAATTGTAGATTACGTATATCTTCAATATTTTCTACTCGATTTAAATATAAATATTTAAATTTAAATATTCAAATAATTTAATATTCAAATGAAAACAACAAAACTTCGATTTGAGAATATGGTTGTGCCGTATTCTCAATGGTAGAAAGTATAAGTCTATAAAGTAATTGTCTCAAAATTATGATATATTTGATGTAATATGTTTGACATCCTTGATTTGAAAATGCTTTTAAAATATACTTTCCATTATAGTATATAATCGTACTGTCGAGAAATTTAAGCCGACTGGTGGCAAGTTCTTGCTGTAAGCTCGGGAGCTGAGCAATGATAATGAAAATTATTTGTATGTAATCTATATAGCTTTTTTGATACAGTACCAAAATTAGATACAGAGCAAGAAAATGTCATGGCACAGTGTTGAAGCAGTTGCTTTAGTTTATACTTTTAATGTATTTAGCGCTAGGAAAACATATGGGACATAATTTTGTTTAAATTGTTTAAGTGTAGTTCTTTTTTTGTAGGTAGCTGCAGTTAACTATGTTTATGCACTTCTTAAACTGAATATTTTTTAAAGAATGTTGTATCATTTTTTAATAAAATATGGTTAAACTTGATTGGTTGTACAAATTATACGAGATTAAAAGAAAAATTTGATAATTAATTTTTTTCTTCATCCAGAATTAATTTTAAGTGATTATTTACACGTTGGATTAAATCTAATATTAGTTTTGGATTGATAAAATTATGCAAATAACCTAAGTACCTGCTTCGGCTTACCTTCTTAATAAAATGTGATTTTTATCACTGATCGTTAACAACGATAGAAATCCATTTTTCTCATAATTATTAAGGTATCTTTGGTAACACCTATGAAAAACTTTACTTTTAAAAATATTTCTCAATTACCTTTATAAATAATAATAAATAACATGTAAAAAGATAAACCGAAAGGATTATATATTTTTTGCAGGTATCTCCCAGAATAACATTTTTCAGTTAAATTCAATATGAGTATTTTTAAGCATATAATAATTAAATATTAATTTAAAAGTAGCAAAAATTCAATATACAATTATGCTTATTTTAATGAAGTCACTTTATTTTTGAAAATGAATCAATTACCTGCATTTTTGTTTAAAAAAATTGAAATGTTACTTAAAAACTAAAAAGTATTGAGAATTTGGCATTTTTATTTTATGCCGACATAGTCTTGAGTATATGCAAAATTTACTTATGCTCAAATTGAGCTTAACCAATTGGAACCAAGTATTTTGTTTTTTTCCGTGTACTGCGCTAAACAATTTCATAGTAATTAAAAATATCGTTTCTCATGGTGGCAATCGTAACACAGTTTTGTCAATAAACAAAAGCGGAGAGAAACACGCGTTGGCCAAGCCTGCAATACTTTCGAACGAAAAACATTAAACCCACCGCGTCGGTCTATAGAACAGAGTAGCGGGAAAGTTTTGATACGAAAGCGACGATGCGTGTCCTTATAAAAGGGCTGGATGCCATAAACACACAGTGAGCGACTGGCTCTACATTAATCATAACGCGAAGGACTCGAGAGGTCCCTAAATAGAGTCATTTTTGCGAGCCGGGAGAGCTCGTGGGGAATCACTGCATGCGCCTGAAACCCGCACAGCTGTTGCGTTTAAGTTGCATGGTGCTTCACTGCGTGCGTACAACATCGATTTCTTTACGAACATTTACGAATTTTGAAAATACATTGATTAACTCGTAATGAGAAAGCAACACGTTTTAACGGTTCATCACTCCAAAAAATTAACAACCCATAAGGAAACAGTAAAAAGGAAAGACGTAAATGTGTTTTTTTTTCTCTGCTTTTTGTATCTATGACTTGCTTTTTAATTTTGATAAGTTGTGG